AGGTTGCAGGGGGTCTTGGGCTAACCGCTAACCAATCACTGCTGTAGAATTTGAAAATCAGCACAGCCTCTCTTTAGGGGACAGTAGGTGATAAGTTGAAACGGCTTTAACTCTACGAGATCTAAGAAGCATCATTTAGCGAGAAGACAAAACAATTCGCATAAAATTTACACACTGAATGCGCTGCAGTTGGTAGTTGGGTTTTGTGCCACAACCTGGACGCAGTCGCTTCAAAACTTCGCCCAATCTGATCAACTTACTTCCGAAGCAGGGGCATCGATCGAATCAGCCTCCATTTAGACTCGAAGTCTGCCCCCGGTGCTTTGAGCCAATCGAATTTGGATTTCTTTATTTTGCGTCACATTGCCCCTCCACACCCGTTACGACACAATTCCCAGATTTTTAGACCCACCCCGTATTGAACTGTGCATTTTCTGATTTCACCGCGATACAAACTTCATTGTGTGTTAGACAGATCTGTTACCAAGGTGATAACATGGACTATTTTATCATCAACGTGCGCCAAATTTTAACTAAGAACAACCCATTGGCAGGCGATAAGTGAGACCGTGTACTCTTGCCAAAAAAACCCGCAAGGAATAGTGTTTCAAGGGGCCCCAGTTCGTCATCATATTGGAGTTTGTTTAAATTAAATTGAGGGTAAATCGCTGAGCCAATTGGATTCGGAGGTAAACCAAGTGTCTTGGTTGAGATAGTGTTTACAACAAAAGGCTGAAATCATCAGAAACTGATGATTTCCTGACATAAGTAAGTAAGTATTTCACTATAAAATTGACCGGACATTTTAATATGAGAAATGCAAACTACCCAAGGTCAAATTCAAGGTCATATGGAGTCCCTGGAAGTTACCCCAGTGGTGCCAATGAATGGGAACATGGAACCGCCACAGTTGTTGCTTTTGTCTGCATAAAAGCAGCAAACGATCCCTGCAATTGTAAACAATAGTAGAAAACGTGGAGTAGGAGGTCGTAGCCGACAAAACAAAATTTGTTTTTTTTTTCAAAATCTGCAATTTGAGTGCGAAAATCGCTGGTAAACTGCCTTCCTAAATGCTATTTTCGTTGGCGTCCAACGTGGACGTCCAGTGTGGGGCCACAGAAGGTGATTTCTGAGTTGAACACAAACCGCCATTTTTGCGAAATTCATTTTTGCGAAAGCACACTGGAGCCAGCTGGCATTTCGCGTTACAAGTAATTGCGTTGGAATCATGCCAGACGCAAAAATTACGCGCGCGCACACACACACACAGCGCCTTACAACGCCCGCCAGTTCCGACAAAAAGCCCCGACTTTTAGACACCGGTTCGGCAAGAATGTCTCCCAGCACTTTGAGTAAATGCTCTCACGAATTCCCTTCTCTCATGCTGGCTGTGTTCCATGAGAGAAATGAACCGACATTGCAGGACATTTTTCATGCTTTGCGTTAGAAACTCAGGCAAATTATGTGCGAATGCAATTTGCCAGTGCACTCGATGTGCGGATACTGAAAGGGAAGTAGAAATTTCACTTGAATCGTTACGTAGACGATTGTTCCACGTGGAGACGCGTGTTTTGTCAAAATTTATTGCCCGTTTTGCTGCCATGCACACATTTTACTAGCCTAAATGGGTTCACACGTGAAGACGTTGGGTTTTAGTAGACGGGCAAAATCAGCTACAAGCCACGACTTTAATGCAATGTTGGATTAATCTTGCAATTTTCTGCCTTGAAAAATAAAATACCAGGCAATCACACTACACAGCACACCAAGTACAAGCACACACCCATTTACGTATGCGCACTTGGCTGGGGTTAATCATGCACTGTGACACCCACAAAAGGCGTTACCTGTCACCTAACACTTCAGTGTGTGGCACCGCTTTGAGTCGGATTTCAAAGAGCTCTCTTAGCTGCTCTCGACGGCACAGTCATCCTGTGTTAAAGGCCACTCACGTTAACATTATTTCAATCTAAACCTAACTAGCCAGTATGATTTTAAATATTTTTGTACAAAATTGGTAATTGACAAGCTTCTTCTGTCTTATTATTTAATTTGACAGAGAAAATCGAGGAATGGTATTCGTAATTCAGTAAAAAAAACTTATCATGCGAAATTTTATTTGTTAAACTTTTAAAATCTAAGTAGGTTTCGAGTATTGGAAGTTTTTTACTGTTTTCTCAACTGTTATGCGTCCCTGAACACTCACCAAATTCATACTACCCGCTCTTATCTTATTGGCTATCTTTGCGGCCGTCAAGGTCGACGTGGACATTGGTAATTGGACGACTACACGTGGAGTTTCAATTGTTTGTCTGTCTCGCAACAAGCTCACTTCTCGTTGTCTCTGCAGTGAAGCAGGCGCATGTAAGTAATTTTACGAGTTCTCAGGTCGTGCGTGGGACTCGGTTAGCCGTTAAAACCAACAACTTTTTATGCGAAATCGCGTTAAGAACAGCAATGATAGAGTTTAATTGACGCCAATTACCTTCTAGTCGTCAGAGCATCGTAATGATTTTACAGCACCGCGCTTGTGTAGTGTAACACGTATGGACACAGCAGCTGGTTTGCGTATTGCTACTTCCCATTTGCCTAGCAACGAGAAAACACAATCGAATTTTCCCGAACACCAAGAAGAGGTTGTTGCCGCTCACGTATTTTGTTTGGTGTAATGAAGTGGTAACCCACATTGGCGACTAGTTATAGCACCCTCATTGTCAATAGCTGCGGTACTGTATAGGCTAGCGTTGTTTAACTGAATAGTTGGTAATTCATCCTATTCTTACCGGTCATTCAAACCGGGTATTAGCGATAATTTCATTCAAATGTGCCAAATTGCGTAATATACTGACCTAATCTGCCCGATAGCCACTACTTCACAACGAATCGGACGATTGGTATGAATGTTGGGCGTAAGCCAACCCTCCTGGTCGTTGGTTGGCCACAGGTGAGTGGTGGAACAGCCAGTAAACAGTTCTGGTGTGGATCAAAAGTGGCGATCGTTCTCAAGTGCCCATAGAGTGAGCATTCATCACTCTTGAGAGTTAACTCATGGCTCGCATCAACGGCAATCCGTGCCAAGCCTCTAGTCGTTCGCTTGCCTCGTCACTTTACACCATGACACAGCACAGTCAACCTACTGTCGTGGGTGAAAGATCGAAGTCAGAACTGCTAGAGAATCTAAACCTGCAGCGCTTTGTGTGTGTGGTGACGGAATTTGAGTGGACTTTAACTCGTAGTTTGACAATCTCCTTTTGCTCACGCAGTCACGAATACGTGAACGATTTGATTGGCTGGACTTCGTGCCTGAACACACCTACTTCCTTACCTGTATCTGGTTACCGATTAAGTTCAGTTTTGTTAACCCTTCGTTTTGTTTGAAGCAAAGATTTCCTTTCTCTGTTTTTCTTTTGCAAAACGAACATTTCCGACAAAGTTTTGTTCTGTTGCCTTTTTGCCGTTGTGAACCAATGAGTCTAGTACAAGGTGAGGCCAAAGCGGGAGTTGGATAGGTGCGCAAATGTGCCGATCGGAAATCCATGAATTACTGTGGTAAAGCGGCGATCGAAGTGGCAGCAGAGTTGTAGCACAGCCAACAAAACTTGACGGAATAAACATCGCAATTCGCTGGGTTAATTTACTTGTCTAGGGCAAAGTTGACATCTCCAACGACTTCTGTCTCACAGTTACAGATGTAAGATACTGCATGAGATAAAACAACCAATAAAATTCAAACCAACCGCCTCGTTCCCATTGGCTCACTGCCGGCATTCGGCACGTGGTTAGACATTCATCGCTTCCTTTGTCTATTTTGAGCTCTTTAACAGCAACACTACCCCTTTGCACCGCGGTTTCCCTTGTTTCAATAATTCAGATGAAGAAAGCCATCCTACAAGATTTCACCCCCACCAAGCATTGATAGCTTTCTCAGTGCGTAAAGCTAAGTTATGGCCGACCTAACTGAAGTACTTACGAATATTTTAGTACTCTAGAAGCTTCCAAAATTGATTATCAATTAATGTCCATGTCTGGTGGAACTTGAAACACTAAAATCCGTCTTTGAAAAATTGTAATGGACTACGCCGGTTAAAGTAACCACGAAGCTATCCCAAATTATACTTTGTTAAATAGAAATGGCAAACCATCGGTTTTCTGGCTCTTGCCAAGATAGTTTATTGTCACATCTGTGTCTACAGTCAAGTAGGAGGGGTAGTTCATAGTGGGTTTGCAAAATGGGATGCGAAGAAAAAGCGAAAGGGGCAAAGCCTAAACTTGGTCCTAGTGCTTTATGGGGATGCGGTAGACCACAGGTCGCTTGGACTTCCTCTCGTCTTCGTCGTCGCTGGACGAAGAACTCGAGCTGGAGTTGGCGGAGCGAGTGAAAGTGTAATTCGGTCGAGTTCGGATCTTCCTCACCTCGTATTCGTCATCACTGGAACTGTCGCTGTCACTGCTGCTGCTACTGCTGCCGTGAGCCTGGAAGAGGTAGATCGAGGAGGAGCGATGCATCTCAGCTGGGGACGAGTCCAAGGGAATCGAGTTGTTGCGGAGACGATGGCTCTTGCGGTCGGCAATGAGGAAGACACCGCCAGAGGGCACCAGGGTCCTTCTTTTGTTCGACCGGATTCGGTGGATCTCCTCGCTCTCCGAGTCACTCTCCGAGTTAGAGAAGACAGGCTGGCTGCAGGCGGGTTTCTTGGACGATGAATTTGCCTGTGGTTGAACCTCATTCTGCGGTTGGTACTGAACGTAGTGCGTGGTGTCCTTCTGAGGAGTCTGCTTTGGCGGCTCAGTCGACGGTGCCTTCGCTGGTGGCGGAGCTGGTTTAGTCTGTGCCGGTGGTGGAACTGGTTTCGGTGCAGGCTTTGGCGAGGGACTGCGCGAAGACCTACTCACCGGTGTTTGGATCGTCGGCGTCCTTGAGATCGACGGTGCATTCGGCGTGCTCGACATGCTTCGACTGACGGAGGGTGCGAATGCCACTGGCTGCTTCGGTGCGTGCGATGAAGACGACCTCGACGATGACGATGACGACGACGACGACGTCGACGATCTTCGCACAGGCGTCCTGAGAATCGGAGTTGGAGGTATGGGCGAATCGCGGGTAGAGTGGGTTGTGGTAGCCACGGCAGCAGCCGCAATATTCTCCTCGCTGGACGTGAGTGGCTCTGATGTGTCTTCAGTCATTGTTCTCACTGGTGAATGAGCCGACCTTTGAGGTTGTGGAGAGGAGCTTCGTGAACGACTGCTGGACGAACTGCTTGAACTGGAACTCGAGGTGTCCTTGACGGGCTCCTTCTTGTCCTCCTCCTCCGGAACTTGCAAAGCTGGAACCTTATTCTTCAAGTTATTCTTCGGCGCCCAAAGACCTGTTTGGAGTACCTCGGCGAGCCTGCTCACCTTGTCCACGCTGGGCATTCCAAACACCACATACTGCTTTGGAATGTCCTTGCCTTCTATGCCCACAACCATGCAGCCAGGACTGTCGGTGAACTGGTAGAAGCTCTTCACGCTGGAATACGGCAGTGCCTTCAACTTGGACGACTTGCCGAACGCACCCTTCTTCTTCAGCTGAATACTGTCGGCTTCAGCGATCATCTTCGACTTGACGGACTTCTTCGCGTCGACGAGCTTCTTCAACGCGTGCTGAGCGTCAGCGGCGTTGAAGGTGCCCTTCGGCTTGATCGGCACAGGCCCATAGATCTGCACGACCTCCTTGATGTAGACGGGTTGGTTCGGTTTGCTGCCTTCCAAGGGCTTGATGGTAGTCATATTTGTCGTTGAACTACACAAATCGCTTGATAATACCTCAGAAGCGTGTGTGAGTGAGTGATGCGCTTAGGCATATGGGCCTTATTTATTCAATGTTTCCTGGCAAATTAGTGAGCCTGCGCACCGAGGTCTAGCCGCCTATTGGTCAGCTCAAGGTCACAGGTGTGAGCAGCGCCAGGCATTAACGGCTTCCTCCCTGCGTGCGCGTGCGTGCGTGCTAGCAGGCAGGCAGGCACAGCTCTCCTGGCGCCTACTCAACCCGCATGACGCACAGGTCAAACTCACTGACACCCACGTTTTCGCGGCATGACGCACAGGGTCCGCATTAGCCTGATTACTAAGAGGGTGTGACTCTCTGAGGAAGGCTGTTTAATCGAAAAAGCATAATCGATTCTGCCTGTGGCTTAAAAACGCTGGTTCAAATGCGAATTGGTTGACGCAAATGACTAGTCCATCCCTCGCGAATGCTTTGTTAATGGCGACAACATCTACCCATGCCGCTACACTAGTTTCGTTGATAATCGGGGTTTGGGGTGGTGGTACAGGTGGAATTTTCACTTCCCAATCTCCTGAAACCTCTCAAATTTACGTGAAGAACTCACTACTGACCAGAGTTCAACCATGGGAGGTTCAATGAGTCGTTACACTGTTCCGCTTCAAGACATGGATGTTAGGCACTTTCAAGTCCACAACTGTGTTCTACAGCGGACTCCTTGAACCCAAAGTAGACATGGGCTGTGAATGTCATCCGGCTTCCTAACACATCTGGTGAACAAGAAGGATGTCGGCAGACAGCAGTAAAATTGTGTGTGTGTTTTTTTGTTAATTTAATGCCAAAACCGGGTAGTGAATGGTCACTGGCGGTCTCAGGAATTATTTCTCCTGAAAAATAATTGTGTGTTTTCGTTACTTCGCTGAGAATTTGCCAAAATAATAGGTTGTGAAATCAGCCACAACATATTTTATAATACCTCAAGCTAACTACACCGCCTTCTCTGAAAGTTCAAATTTCCCCACGCTTCTGATTGGTTAATATTTGTTTTCTTTAAAATTAATCTGTCGAACGTGAAAAAACTAACCTAGTAGATTGTGGTAACGGCGGCTCAATGGCAAACTCATTCAAAAATCGCTCACTGGGAGGACCAGCACATTAAAACAACGGACGTGAAAAAGGTTAATATGGTAACCGGGAGCTCATTGAGAGGTTTGAATTGGCTAATAACGAGATTCCGCAGTCCATCTTTTAACATTTCATGGTTATCGAGTTGAATAAGCACATTTTCTTTTGACAACGAGAGAGCTACAGCCACCTGGATTAAAATACTTAACTGTTTAGTAACAATTTTGTGGAAATGAGTAAACTGTGCGCGGAAATTGATCAAAAATTCAAATTACGGATAATTACGAAGAAGGAAATCGTTTTATCAATTCGTGAGGTGTGTTTTGTACTGCACGTCGTTAGCCTTAGGCGGATCAGGTCGGCACTCAAAATCAACACTCCACTGTACACCCAACAAACAACCTTTTTACTTATTTCATTTATGTAGCCATGCCGCCTTCAGCTGAAGCGTTTAGCTTCATTGTTACCAAGAGAATTATACGAAAGTGGCCCCAGTTCTAAAATTTCTAGTTAAAAACACCCACGCAAATGCAGAAACGGATCTAAATACTGTATGAAATGCGTAGAAAGTTGTTACATTAGTGTTGAGGATCCACGATTCCCCAAGATTGGTTTCTGATTAGATTTACATTAATTTACTAACATTTGTTTTGCTACAATTTTTTTTAAGTCAAGGTCAATCTTGACTTGAATCACTTTCGATTTCACTTCTTCGCTTTTGTTACGGGCAAACGTAACAAATTTGGCGACGCAGGTGAGATGAGTGACAAGGGGATGGAACAATTGCTCGAGCGGCTAGTGTCAATGCTTGCAGACCGCCAGTCGTCTCAGGCCGCTTCCGCCAGTACGCCGTCAATTGATGGCCTCACCAACAGTATCTCGGAGTTTTCCTATGAACAGCGTAACGTTTGATTCCTGGCATCGGCGTTAAGATGACCTATTCCGAGTCGATCTCGCATCCCAGGATGGCGCGTGGAAAGTCAGACTCCTTACCCGCAAACTGGGCCCAGCTGAATTTAAGAGATACACCGACGCGATCCTCCCAAAGTCCTCTCTCGACTTCACTTTTGGAGAAACCGTTCAAAATCTTCAGAGTAGGTTTGGAGAACGCACCTCCTTATTCAGTACCCGGTACCAATGCCTCAAACTCGCAAAAGGGGAGTTTGACGATTTCCTTGATCATCCGACAGTGGTCAATCGAGAGTGCGAGAAAAGTCAATTCAAATCAATGACTGACGACCAGCATAAAGCTCTCATTCTCATATGCAGCCTTCAAATCCCTAAATACACGGATCTGCTAAAGCGGCTGCTACACCTGATTGACCAAAATCCCTCGGTGACGCTGGACAATATCCGCAATGAATACCTACATTGGAGCAGCGTGCTGCATGACTCCAGAATGGTCGAAGCTAGCGGCCGCAGTGCTCCTGAAGTCAACACGGTCCAGCGTATCAAAAAAACATCTCCCACTTCTGGCCCTCCCAGCCCTCGTCAGCCTAAATCGAACAGAGAATCAGCCGAGACAAATAGCCGGAGGAGATCAAGGGACAATCCTCCTTCCTCGTGTTGGCACTGTGGAGCCTGGCATTATGTCAAGTTCTGCCCTTACAAGCAGCATCGATGCCAGCGATGCAAAGCTAAGAGCCACAAGGACGGATACTGCAAATCATCCCCGTCTAACAGGAGTGGACGGCACCCTCACCTTCACACAAAGGAAAGGTCAAAAGCCAAACCAGCCAGTCCTACTATCGCATCCCTCAGCCTACGGGTCACCTCCGAAGACACTTCACAGCAGCAGAGGATGTATACAACCGTCCTCATCAATGGTCATCCAGTTCGTCTGCAGCTAGACACCGCCTCGGATGTTACCATCATCTCGGAAACTCAATGGCGCTCCATCGGAAGTCCTCCACTCAGGGATACCTCTGAAACGGCAATCAGTGCTTGCGGCGGTGAAATTCGCTTCCGCGGCTAAATGCAATGCTGTGTTTCCTTCCGCGAAACATCTTTCACTGGCACGTGTTATGTTCTCAACGCCAAACTTAAACCCCCTTGGTCTGGATTGGTTCGAACAATTGGGTTTTTTCGACATCCCTATCAGCTCCATCTGCAATGCCCTACAATTGTCGACAACACCTGGCCAAAATACCGTGGACATCATCAACCAGTTCACCACGGTTTTTCAACCTGGATTGGGACACTGTTCTACGACACAGGCCACTTTTCGCCTTATGCCGGACGCCAAACCGGTCTTCCGTCCAGAAAAACCGGTCCCATACGCATCGTTACCGCTGGTTTAAGCTGAGTTAGAACGTCTTGAAAACGAAGGCGTCCTATCCTCGGTCTCATACTCAGCCTAGGCGGCCCCAATCATTGTGGCAAAGAAGGCCAATGGTTCAATCCGGATATGCGCAGACTTCTCCACTGGTCTAAATGCAGCTCTGGAATCACATCACTACCCTCTACCAGCCCCAGAGGACCTACTCACAATTCTGAGTAGCAGAAGATACTTCGCAGAACTCGATCTGGCCGACGCCTATCTGCAACTGGAAGTCGTTCCAGAGTCCCGCCCACTACTGACCATCAATACCCATGGAGGTTTATTCCAGTACAACCGCCTACCCTTCGGAGTCAAGACCGCTCCTGCCATTTTTCAACAGTTTATGGACACCATTCTGGCCGGCATTCCTGGAGTGGCAGCATACCTTGACGACCTATTAATCGTAGCTAGTTCGCAAGATGAGTTACGCAAGAGGATCGAAGAAGTCCTTCAACGGATTGAGGACAACGGACTAAGACTTCGCCAAGAAAAATGTGAGTTTTATTTGACTTTAGTCAAGTATCTCGGTTTTTTCTTTAATGCCTCTGGTCGGCATCCGGACCCTGAGAATGTCCGGGCTATTCAGCAAATGCCGACTCCCAAAGATGATCCATCACTGCGCTCCCTCTTGGGACCAATCAGCTATTACTCGGCTTTTCTAACGTCGATGCACAACGTCCGACCACCACTGAATCACTTGCTTGGAAAGGACGTACCTTGGGTTTGGTCCGACGAGTGCGAGGCGGCCTTCTGTCAACTCAAATCAATGCTCAGTTCGGACCTGCTGCTGACCCATCATGATCCAAGTCTACCAATTGTTGTTGCAGCTGACGCCTCCGCCAAGGGCATCGGAGCCGTCATCCTCCACGTATTCCCCGACGGCACAGAAAAGGCCATAATGCACGCATCCAGGTCGCTGACAACGACAGAACAGCGTTACGGACAGATTGAGAAAGAAGCTCTCGCTTTGGTTTTCGCTGTCCGCCGGTTCCACAAATTCATTTATGGCCGACGATTCACTCTGCTTACAGACCACAAGCCGCTGCTACCAATTTTTGGATCAAAAACAGGCATCCCAGCTCACTCCGCGAACCGCCTGCAAAGATGGGCACTTATTTTACTGGGCTATGATTTCGAAATCCAGTACCGTCGAACAGAGGATTTCGGGCAGGCAGACGCCCTATCACGGCTCATAAGTAACGAGTCCACTACCAAGGAAGATGCCGTCATCGCTGCCATCTACGTGGACGAAGGTATCACCCAGCAGATATCTCAAACGGTTCGTGCGCTGCCGATTTCATTTCTCGACATCAAACGGGAAACAGCCTCGGACAACACGCTACGGCAGGTCATCCGTTACGTCCAGAGCAAATGGCCAAAACGCTCCCCCACTGGAGACCTTCAGCAGTTGTTCCAGCGACGCGATTCCCTCTGCGTTATAGACGGCTGCTTGATGTTCGGAGAACGCGTTGTGGTGCCCAAATCATTGCGCTTGCGTGTTCTTCGTCAATTTCACACTGGTCATCCCGGCATAGGTCGCATGAAGTCTATCGCCCGCAGCTACGCTTACTGGCCAAATATGGATCAGCAAATCTCAGACTTAGTCAAGAGTTGCCATCAATGCCAGCAGGCTGCCAGGAACCCTCCCAAGGTTCCTTCGGTCCCTTGGCCTCAACCACACAAACCC